GGAATGTCAGCCAGGTCAGAGTTGAAGTTGTGATGGGGAAAACACCCCTTTCAAAATGGTTGGCTAGAGTTTGGAGGAAGTATGTGTTGCAAAGAAGGCATACAAAGCAAGCTGAGGCAAGCTAGCCCTTGTGATATCATGTTCAAGGTCATCTGTGAACACAAATGTGATTTTGACAGCGTAGCCTTTGCCTTTGGGTGAGAGCTTCTGAGAAGGATGTCTCAGACTGATCAAGTGAAGTCACTCCCACTGTAATAGTGTTGTTCTGGTGTTTCTTCACTTGAATAACCATTACAGGAAACACTGGTCTAGCATTGCATTCTGCTATGCAGCTTTTTTATTTTATTTTTTTGTGTCAGAATGACTGTTCTGTGCAGTTCCCTGATGCAACCTGTGCTGTGTGACTGGTGCTAAAATCTCCCCAGTTGAGAGCCCACTGAAAAGCTGTGTTGATGGGAAGAGAAGACAGTTATCCTACCTGCCTTGCAAACTGTGCTGCAAAGGTATCTTTTTCTGAAGGGGCTTATCACCCTTCACTCAGTACAGAGGAAGCTCAGTTGCTGTCAGATTTCAGATGACTAAAGTTAGATCAGGCAAATTCCACTGCAAGTACTGAAATTTACTTTATTCCTTGTTAATATGAGCTCTGTTCTCTTGAAAAAAGACATAGCTGGTCAGTAGAAGGAGAAAAGGAGCTCTGGCTCCCACCTTCTGAATCATACAGCACCCTCACAGGCCATCTCTTTCAAGACGGTGGCTGAGCATGGAGAAGCAGAGAAGGAAGAAACTCTCTGAGTACGGAGTGGGAGACCAGGTCATCATAAAGCCTTCAGAAAGAGTGATGAGTGAAGTATGCTGAGAGGAGCAAGGAGCCAGTGTGTAGCTAGGGCTCAGAAGAAGGCAAACAGGATGTTTTGCTGAGGCTTAGAGGGGACTGCAGGCTTTCTTGCAGCACAAGAAGTCCTCTAAATGCTGCTGTCCTGAAAGCAAACCTAAAAGAATGAACCTGTTCTGGTAGCACACTGTAATAGGTGAGGAATGGAACATGAGTTCTCTTATTTTGCTTCACTCAACAGAACTAGCAACAGATTGTTAAGGTTCCCTTGTTCCAGTTGGTGTTTAAGTGGAACACAGGCTATAAAAGTTTCTGAGTGTGCTTTTGATACATTCAAGGTTTGTGTGGTTTCCTGGTGAGGAAGGAGGAAAGGGTTGCTACACAGAGCCAGTGACTGCAGCTTTGGTTTTAGCTTGAATGCTATTTAAACAACAATAAAGCATGCAGAAATGGTTAAGACCAGTGACCTTTCTGCCTTTCCAGACATCTCAATAAAGCAGATGCTTTAAAAAACAATCTGGCCAATTGAAATCTTCAGTTTTGACTGGAATGTATTTTAACATTTCAAATAATAACTTCCTCTCCAGCACATGAAAAATCAGTTGTTTGAAGGACAAGTGGTTCACGAACCTTGCTCATGAAGAATGTTTATAATTTTTCAGTCTGATTTTGACATATTACTCTACCAATATCACTGGTGATTTTTTTTTTCCTTCCGCTCATATAGAGATAGATTTTAGCACTTTCCAAGTATTTCATACAAGCAGTATTTTCATAGGGCAGAGTTGGATAGAAACATGAAATATAGTGTCTGTAGCTTGTGTAAGAGGAGAAGGCTGTTCAAAGGGCTGGCTGTAGATCAAAGCCCAGTCTGTAAGGTGTGATGAAATAACCTGCTGCATGAGATCCACGAAGATGGAGCCTAACATGGCTTGGTTTGCTGCAGACATAGTGTAGTTTTCATGGGAGAAGTGAGTTTGTAGCATTCTCATTTGCACACATGCATGAAGTTCCCCCACACACATGTTCTTCCTCTCTTAGACATACGGTAGAACAGCTGGAGTTGCTCTTAACTCTTCCATCATTCTACAGAATCATAAAATCATTTAGGTTAGAAAAGACTTTGAAGATTGTCAAGTCTAGCTATTCACCTAACACTACAAGTCTACTGCTAAACCATATCCCTAAGCACCATATCTCAAATACCTCCAGGGATGGTGACTCCACCACCTCCCTAGGCAGCCTGTTCCAATGCCTGACCACCCTCTCCATAAAGAAATTCTTTCCAACATCCAGACCAAACTTGCTTTGGCACGACTTGAAGCCATTGCCTTAGCTCCTTTGAGAAAGTTTTTGAAAATGACTATGCAAAACATATTCCTAAAACTAGGCTCAGCAGCAAACTTATAAAAAATGGTTAAAAAAAAAAAAAAAACACACAAAAAAACCCACAACTATTATATTTGTGTCTCTCTTGTTGCATATAAGGCACTATAAATAAAGTGCTCAGCAAGCATCCTGTCATAGAGTTGAAGAGTGTATATTAAGATGTGCTGTAAGGACTAAATTCTCTAAGGAACTTTCTTCCCACCTCTCTGAAACATTCCCAAGATTTCCAACTATACATACATGCAAATACTTGTACATGGGCCTTATACAGCTGTTTGTATCCCTATACTTTACTTTTATTTTGTTTACTGGAGGTTTCTCAGTGTGTTATAAGAGAGATTAATAATACTTTGGAATTGATGCTTGTTTTCTTCTTCTGGCTATTTAATTGTAAATGGAGAATGTCCTACCTCTTGTTCTGCTTATTAACTGATGGCCAGAAAGGTTTATTTAGATTCTTTTTAATCAAGTGCTAACAACGTAAAGAGCTGCAGCGCCTACCTTTGTCTCCTTCTAATCTAATCCAATGGCAGACAGAACAGAATCAGTCCCTGTTTGTGCAGGAAGGTTCACGAATTTCAAGGGAGCAGGAGAATGTGTTATATCCCATGTAGGAAAACTGGAGGAAGAAGAAGAGGTCATATACTGCAAACGTGGGAGCTTTTGCCAGCCCTAGTGAGAGTGAGCTGAGTCCGAGTGAAGAACAAAAGCAAAGTCTTCTGGTGTGAAGTTGTAAAGTAGAAATGGGAGCTAAGGGCAAATGGTAAATGAAATGGCCATTGCTGCTTTTAAAGAAAAAAAAAAGAAAAAGTGAAAATGAATCTTGTGAGAAAGAAGGGAAAACTTGGGAAAGTTTCTTAAGAAGTATCATTTTTGGAGCTGTGGGAGGAGGGAACAGTTTCAGCCAAAGAGTTTGATAGATAGGAGATAAAGTTAGGTGTTTCATGTTCTGTTTAGCTTTTGAGATCTAAGCTATCTTTTACCAAAGTATTTCCAAACATTCCTTGGCCACAAACATTTTTTTGTAATACTCCCAAACTTATTGCCAGCTTTCTGACATGTTAGTTCTTACTGGAATCAGCAGTTGTTTTAAGGAAGTGGTTGACTGAAGTGTTACATAGCTGGTATGACTTCCATTTCTCCAGCAGATTTTCTCATCACAAAGCTTTAGTGAGGAGCACAGGGAGGTTTTTTGTTCATTTAATTGGTTTTTTAATATCAAACTTTGAACCTTTAAAGAAAAATTTGCTTGATATCAAGAGTTGAAATTGAAATAATATATTGAAATATCCCCGGCATCCGTATTCAAAGATGTTGAATGATCAGTAATGTATATACGGTAGCAGTGGAGAACTGAAACTCTTACCATGTTAGATATACTTCAGGTGTTAAAGCAGTTTGTCTTTTAGGTGTATAGCAGATCAGCACTGGAAACAGAGCTAGATTTATTAGGTAATAGATTACTACAATTAATTATTACTACAGGAAAATAGCTAGGGCTTGCTGGGTTAAGAGAAAATCTTGCCCTTAAAGTCCAGTTGTCTTAGTTTAGGAATGAGATGTGACAAATGAAAGAAGTTGGAAAGTGACTGAAGAGTGCTGGCAGTGCAGTGCTGCACTCTCCTGAGTTCTTGTGGGACTCATTCAACTGCCTTCCCAGAAGAAAGCATGCATCATACAGGTGGTTCTCATCTGTACCTGTGCACAGATTTCCAGGTCAGCCAGGAGCCATTACTGAAGTTGCTTTGAACTCCCTTGACACAAAAAGTTAAGGAATGCTTGGACAGTCCAGTCTGGTGATTTGGCTGTAGGGTCAGGAATGACCAGCTGAGACACCGAAGCAAACACCTGGGAGGGGCACAGTAAAACTATGCTAGCCACTTCCAAAATGATTACACTAATAATGCAGCGAGGACAGATTAACAAGGTTTGGTGTGGTTGGCATAGGACAAGGGTCAAAAGGTAAGTCTGCAAGGTGATAGTGCAGAGAAGTACAGCAGGATTGCAGTATGCCTTGAAAGAAAGAGCATAGTGGGGGTAAGAGCCAACAAAGGCAGTCCTGTGATGTATAAGGTGAGAAATTCACCATAGCAGAGGTGGGAGAGAGTTGTTGTCTTAAGATCTGAGCGGTATCTGCTATAATAATCCAATGTACTCTTGAAAGCCAAGAAGAAGTTTGGCACTATAGTTAAAGAAAGAGGGTTGAAATGTCAAATACAAAGAACAGCGAAAACAGAGAGATGTAAAGAGTCTGGAGTGATACTGAGAAGGATCAAACCAAAGACAACATCTTTCCTTAGCTGAGAACCATACTGGTAGTCACAGGGTCACAGAAGCACAGCAGCATTGGATGGCTGAAACGCTGCTCAGTAGTTCACTGTCACCAATATCTGAGGAAGTACATTGTTCATGGAGGCAGGCTGTGTGCTGGTGTCTGCTCACTAAATACTAGCACATTCTGTGCTCAGGAGCTGCGAAATTGTTAACACAAGTTAACTATAATAATACAAATGCTAAGAAGGAGTATCTGTAATGTGGAAAATCCGACATTCTAACTAACCTCCCTCAATTGGCCCAGTTTCAAGCAGACAGTTTTCACAATTTTTGATCTTGATTTGTTAGCAATTGTCCCTGCGTAGTTCAGACTGAAATTACCCTCTTTGTTTTCTTTTCTGGTGCACCACATATGCTAGTACATCACGAGAATGTTTTGCATTATAAGATTCTGCTGCACCATGTAGTTCACAAAGTCTTTTGATTTTCTTGTGTTTAATAGGAAATAGCCCGTTGTCTCCGACCTGGAACTCTGCGCGCTGTCTTTGGGAAGAACAAGATTCAGAATGCTGTCCACTGCACAGATCTACCAGAAGATGGACTTCTGGAGGTAAGATTTGTTAGAGAAACATATGCTTTTATATCATAGGAAATTTAAGGTGAAAAATTGCACTTGACACTATTTTAAACTGAAGTGTCAAGTTGAAGTGTTTTATTTGTAGAGTAGCTTTGCTGGATTCCATTGATCACTGAGAAACAAAAGCAAAAAGTTTATAAAGAGCAATGAACTTATTTAATTTAGATACTGTAAAAACTTGATCTATGCTCTTTTTTTTGAACACACATAGTATGCTAGAATACTTAGTGAAATGAAAATTGAGTCTTCTGTTTGGCTGAATGTATCTTTTGAACTGGGCACCAACATCTAGCAGTGCTTCTGCAAGAACACCTTCATGGCCTCTGCTTGGATGACCACTATTACACCCAGTCTGGTATGTCCCAACAGAGAGCTTATGACAGGCCTGGGATGTTTCAGGCACTAAAGGTTCAAATTCTTCACATAGGCACCAGTTTTATTAATACATGGGCATAATTATGCATATCATATGGAATTTCCTGTGTTTTATAGTAAGTTACTAAGAGTTTGGCTTTGTATGCTTTCATTAAGTCCAATAAAATGGAAAAAAAAATGAATTAAAGCAATTTGTAAAGGCAGAACAAGCTCAAGTCACCTAATGCCATGCCCCAAAGATGAGGTCTGGACAAGAGATGTTGAAGTAGTGTCAGTGTATCTTGGATGGATCTTTTCATCAATGCATATGTTTCTTCAGCGTGTGCATAGCTTCTACCATACTTTCTACAAGCACTTATGAGTGGTTTGCTGTCAAACTATAGCAACATGATGAAGCAGCAAGAGATTTCCTAGCTTGGATAACTTTATATGGCCAAAAGTGTTTTCCTTGAGGGAGGAAGAACAGCTAACTGCGTCATGATCTCCCATCATGAGGTAAAATTAGATGTGTGGGTTAAAGTGCTGTTTGACAGGAAATTGCATCTAACTTAAAAAATAGCATAGTGTTAATTGAAAATTGCAGCCAACATCAACGAAGTCACAGCTTTTTAAACCATTTTCAAGCTGCCACTGAAAGTTGGCAACTTTTAATTTCTGTGCAAGGGGTCTGGACTTAAACAAGCAAGCAGGTATTTGTCATCTTGTGCCTAAGATCTATCAGTTATTTCTTTTAAATGGCAGTAGAAAAAACGACGTAATACACAAGAAAAAAGAGAATCTCGCCAACACTGATACAGCATTTTAGTACTTCAGCAGAATTCTCTCTTTCATATTCACTGTTGGTCTCCTGTATGCTGTTTGGTGGTGCAGAGCAACTATAACTCCATTTTGCTGATGGTTTAAATTGAGTTTACAGCTAACATAGGCATAATTGTATACAGAATGTGGTTCTTCATGTTTCTAGTTTCTTCTATATGGTCCAGGCTAAAGCAGCAGTTGTAAAGGACGTCAGTTGAGTGAATGCTTAAATTTGATTAACAAATGAGCATTATATGGAAGCCTTTTACTGTCAGACTGTACTTTATGGAGTTTCCTCAGATCTGTGTTTTGTAAGAAATGGAGGTGTCTGAAAATGTAGGTGAGCATCTGGATTTGTTTAAGTTTGTCATGAATTATGAAAAATAAATGATCCAGTGCACTCAGAGGTGATCCTTGGGAAAAAACTTCCTCTATTAGCTTTTTGTACTTAAAATCAGTCACGGAGGTCTCACTTGCCTGGCAAGCAGAAGCCAGGCTTTCCCCTTGCCCATCCCCATTAACTGTAATAGTGCTGTATGTCCTGGGCAAAGTGATGCTGTGGCGTGCAGGATAACCACAGAAGAAAAGGCACTGGGCCAGCCTTACATTTACAGGAATGTTTTCAATGAATGGTGGAGAATGTTTTCATTCTGTAATGAGTAACTGAATATTTTAATATATTGAATTGAACAGAGTGATTAGCCTCAGAGGGGAAGAACCCAGGGATAGATAAAGCATTTGTAGAGGAGAATGACCTTGGCAGTCCTACCTTGGTTCCCTGTCCAAATGTAGCAGTGGGATTTGCTTCTTTCAGTGTAGTTTGTGTGCATTTGTTAAGTCTGTGTCCTGGAAGATGTAACTGTTACTGAGATGTTAATGCTGCTGTTCTGATAAAAACTTTACAGTATTCTTGTAGGACAGCTGATTAGTAGAGGGGGAGCTTGGAGTAAATGTACTGCTGTTATTCATTGACTGAAATTTCAGAAAGAAATCCGACCTACTAGGTTTACAGTACAAAGATGAACAATCCTTTTAAAAGCCCCAAAGGAAAGCATATAATCGCTAGCAGTCTCGTTCATTTCTTCAGGTGGCATTGTTTTTTTGTACCAGATTACTACTCTATTACAGGTATCATCCAGTGTAGTTCAAAACCCCAAACTGTATGCAAATTATTGCACTCCTTTTTGCTGTTTTAAAAGGTAAATTTGGCAACCTGAAGCCAGGCACAAGAGCTAGGAACTTCAGAGTTTCATTTTTAACTCTGTTGCTGATTTTATGCGAGTTCGGCCAAACCCCTTTTCAAATTTTGGCATGGAACTATTTGGCTCTCCTATTCTGTATGTAGATGTTCTGACTTAGTATTCCATTTTGGAGAAGGCAAAAATAAGTGCAACTGGTTTTAGAAAGCAAATTGCAGAATCATTATTGCAAATAATGACATGAAGTTGTTAAAACCTCTTTTTTTCTCTATTTTCTGCCACATACACCTTCTATATTCTATTTTAATTTGCAGAACAGGAAATGGTTTAATTTCTCTTCAGAATCCTGTCAGGTTTTGCACCACCCCTAAACCCGACAAGTATTTTTGGAAAGAGGATGCTGTGATGTAAGCTTTCTGAAACTCTTGGTCAGCCAGAGAGGTGGGCCTTAGCCAACCGTTGCAGCCCCAAAAGCAGACAGAGTCAATCTGATAGACAGTGAATAATGGTGTTTGCTACCTTTGATTCAGAGCTTCTGTGCAACCTTGACCATGCTTTATGGCTGAATCACCGTTTTCCAGATGCTCCCATTTCCAGTACAGCCTCACCTTACAGGCTGAAGGGCCTGCAGAGTGGATTTTCCACAACCCTGAGCTTGCAGTGAGCCCTGTGGGTTTGTACAGAGAGCTGGCCAGCACATAGAATACTTACACTGCTAATGTTAATGCAGTGTTTCGGGGGTCCCTGCCACAATCCAGACTCCGTTGTGGTCACGTGTTTTGTGTACACATCTTCAGGATCAGCATTGCCCCTAGGAGGTTGGAGTCAAAGTGGCCTAAATGGACTGCTGCTTTTGGCACTTTGTCACAGGGAAGGTGAAGAGGTTGATGTGTGTTTGTTAATTCTTCTGGGAACTTCTGATCTTCCAGAGCAAAATGGGTATGGAAAGGGGAGATGCCTGGCTAACTCACTATCCCATTGTGTACCTAAAGTGCCTGGCATTTATCAAAGGACAATAAAGATGCATTCCTGTGTAGAAGGGAACATACCAGTGCTTTCTTGAGGACTCAGGTATCCTCAGTGCCAGATACTGTATATTTTAATACTTTCCCACTACCCTATGCAGTTTTCATCACCCATGGCTGAAGATCTAGCTGAGATTTTAAAGGTGCTTAAAGTGACAACTGCTGGTTGATTGTCCATAAGTGGAGCAATGTCCTTTAACTGTTCAGAGAGATGGGATAGGTAGTTGAAGATCAGATGCTTTCTGACATTAATATTCAGATTCTGGATGTCCTTGGTGGTTCATATACTCAGTGGTCAGTAGAAAGGGAAGGCAGTGAACTTTCTCTCCAAAATCATGATCAAGAAAGGCATATGCTCGGGGAGGAAAGGGAGCAACACTCTCAGGAACAAGGGCTGATTAACTAAGTAAGGGTCAGCTTACCTGCGTAGTTTTAGAATACTATATTTAATTAATGTAGTGCAGTAGTTTTCCAGTGTTTTCTGTTGGTCCTCTTTTCCATGGACCTGGAAAAAGGAACATTCACTTTTTAATCTAAAAAACAAACAAACAAACAAGCCAAACCCTGAAAACCAAACACCAGCACTTACTCCCACTAGTTTGACCCTTAAGTCCTATCTTTGTTCTACGTTCTACTCCACGTTTTGGGCAGTGGCTGAAACATATCAGAGAGTTAATGAATAACTCACGTGGGCTCTGCAGATGAGGGGTGATACAGTGAGTCTAAAATACAACTGGCCATGTGGAAAAACCAGTGTATTTTCAGTTGTAAAGCTCTAGCAGCTAATGTTTTTATTAGTATGCTGATACAGGAGGAGCAAGCCCTGAAGCCACTTAGAAGAGCACTTTGACTTCCTGGGCCAGGCACTTTTTAATTGATTTCATGAACTTGTGTGTCCTTGTTTCAGTACAAAATGTATTGTCGTAAGTGACAACATATAGACACAAATAGCTCGGAACAGTCCATTTTCACAGCTCTCCTGTAAATCTTCCATTTGAATGGGTAGAGGAGAAAAAGGAGGAAGTAAGGAAAAAAAAAATCTGTTAGATGTGGAGTATTTATTAAATGTTGGAGTTTCACAGGTAATGGCTAAAACCTCAATTTCTTTATTTTTCAGGTGAACAGATAGTGTTCCTTAAGATATTCATTCAGAGCAGGTGTTTGCATTTGTTTCCCATATACAAAGCAGGTGCCAGTCTACATCTTGGCAGTTTTTTTCTATTTTCAAAAGCAGGCACTACTTCAACCATTCTGACAGTTACAGTGCTCACCTGGATTCACATTTTTTTCTGAATCTGAGCAACATACCAGAGATGGTTTTGCATCTATTTCTTTCATGTGCATGCAGTGAAAAGATTGCTCTGGCTCCACTCACCGTCTTGGACCTGAGAAACATTTCTGGTAAAAAGTGCTGTTGAAATAGGTGTGTTTGGCAAACCATCAGATCCAATGAATCAGCATTCCCTGGACAAACAGTGTTCCTTGAAATTAGTCATTCCTGGTCTGCGTTTAGTTGAAGCACTCTAGAATGTGTTGTGGCTACCAGACTTCACAACTGATGTGTCCCCTTACAGAA